CATGCAACGGTGGCTGCACGATTCTCCCAGGCTAAAAGAGACATGTGATCGACATTGTGCCGCCCAGAAGAGCCCAGAGTGTAACCGTGTGACGTGGTGTGCGCTGGGCTGCCGACCATATACATTATGTTTTCTTCTCTAGTCGACACGTGCGACCCATGTCTTAATAAAGCTTATTTCATTTAATTGCAGGATTAACATGGTCTTATTAGCCTAACTAATATGATTATTCCATAAACTGATTAGGTATAGTACTTATATTATTTTATATTATTTTGATATGCTGAAATCATAAATGAATTGTTAAAAAATAAAAAAAGTATTATCTTAATATATTTTTAAATAAAAAACACTTTAAAAAACAACTTATATACTAATATCACATAAACTTTACATGAAATAATATGAATCATCAAATTAAGTTTCAAAATCCAACTAAAGTGTCTCCACAAGGCCTCAACATTAACTAAATGAAAATGGGTTGAGGATTGACCAAAAGGGCGAGAGACCGTCTTCCTAAGGCATTCAAAAGGATTTGATAATTACAATAAATAAAATGAAATGATGTCCACGCTTGAATTGTTTGCATGTGCATATAATTCATATGGTAAAGCTACAAAAATAATACGTTGGATGTGAACCTTTTGTGCTTGGAAGAGCATGCGACTGCCGTTTTGAACCAAATTTTGTTTCTTACTTGTAACTAAAAATGATATTCGCCATTCGAGACAGACAAGATAAGCCTATAAGATTCACAGAACTCAGAGTTTATTACACCCTTCTTTGCTTTGTTGGACAAGTTGCCTTCTCATTAGGGGAATATGGAACTTTCTTGCCTATTTTTCACGACAGGGATCAAAGTCAACCGGAGATGCTCCATTAAATTGACTGTCACTACACTTCTAGTTGATGTGACCAGGAAATTCCCTTTTTCCTTGGTGGCAAGTTGGTAATTTTGGAATCGTGTCTATCTGGGTGTACTCAATTTGTATTTAAATTTAAATAATCTTTTTAATGGGCGCATGTATTGTGAAGGGTTCGTGTTCATCCATTGTATTGGGAATGCATTGGGGAGATTGATTTAATGGATTTAGAACAATGTCCATTAAAAAAAAAAATCATTTTCTGTCCCTGCAAGCTGACCCAAAACGACTCGTATTCTTTTGTATTGTTCAAATTTAACCATTTTAACATTATTAACAATATTGTAGTGCGACGGACATCCTCCGTCCACTATAAATATTAATTTATTGAGAATGTAGTGCGACGGGCTTCCTCCGTCCACTATAAATATTAATTTGCTGACACTGTGAGGGGATCTAGGGTTTTTTTTTATCTTCGATCTTCTGATCTTTGGATCCTTTGCTGACTTTCTAATATTTTGCTGATCAAAGTGTTTTTAAAAATGTTCTTTTTGTTTGGTAATGGATAGAAAACATATATATATATATTTTAATTTGTTTTTAATATTAATATATTAAAACGATATAAAAATATTTAAAAAAGTAATTTAAAGAAAAACATTCAAAAAATACAGTAGAACATCAACGCAAAACACTTCCTTAGACTTTAACTACTGATCACCTGAGATGCTCTTCCTTCCACGCTTCTTTTTTACTTTCATCCATTCTTTTTCATTCATGGATTGTAGCTTTTACAAGTTACAATGCTCGCTTTCAGCATCTCCTCCCTGACTAATTATTTGACATGTTTCCAAGAACATTAACACGCAATGTCAAGTTACTATTTCATAAAATATTTTATGAATTTTCTTATCCAATATAGGATTTCTTGTTTAGTGAGATTAATTTCCCGTGTAATATGAATTATTTTGTGCAAAAAACATTTGTAGAGTTTGTGAAACCTATATGTCTATATAGAGAATAGCAGAATATGAGAGGTTTGACTGTAGTTTCCAAGAAGAGAAGCCTACTATAAAGAGAATTAAAGGCTAGAATATATAGCTGTTGAAACGAATATTCGAGATTTTTTTTTTCTGAGGTTGCTATAGCCTTTGAAAAGCTTTAGGATGGAATGATCAGAATTGTGGAAGAAAGGATGGGGATCAAGGGAGTGGTTTGTGAGGTTACAGTGTTTTCCACCATAACATTACCCCATTTCTGGGGAGACAATACAATGTTCGTGGTGGGAATATATACCTAACAATATGTCTTGAAAACCTCCGATAGCTAGGAATTGCAGCACTCATAGCCAGAGGACGAACAAAAATCTTGAGGCATTTCGCAGGGGCAAGTGCGGCCCAGCATGTGCATCAATTATTGTTGACATAACATGTGTTTCACAGAAAATTAAATAAAAATGATTGCAAATGATTTCCAAGTTGTATGTTTTTTCTGTCGCCAACTGATGCCTTCACCAATGTGCACCAGTTCCTTTCATCCTTTCTTTTCTGCGGAAAAAGAAGCAAAATCTTGAAAATAATTATGGCTGTAATCTCTTGCATGCCTCCCCATGCAGAGTATGGGACCTTTTGGGGGTCGAAAGGGACACCATTTGTTTCTGATTGACATGATGATTCCAGTCATGTGAGCAAAAGAAAAGACTAACAATCATTTCCAATTTGTATTTTTTTCGTGTATATGTTTAATAATGATTCGAAATTGTTCAACCATGGGCTCCAGGATGGGAAAAAAAATAAAATTCCAAGGAAATCCTTGGAAAAACTTCGTTTTCCATGGAATATACCTAACAATATATGCTGTTGTTGTTTGTGAAACATTTTTTTATTTTGTAGTAATTGATTTTTAAAGTATTTTTTATTTAGAAATATATTAAAATAATATTTTATTATTAATTTTTAAAATTTATTTTTAAATCATCATATCAAAAAATTCAAATTTGGTTCAAAAACATATAAAATAAATAATTTTTTGATTAACAGTATTTTGGCTACAATGACAAAGACAGTTCATGGCTGCTCTGCTCGGTACGTGCAGAATTTTCGAAAAAAATTCTTATAATTTATAGCTCAAGTGGCTATACTTTTAAGTCTTCAGGTTCATTTCTCATATTTTGCACCTGCTGGCACCTGAGCCCATGCAGAGCTGCGGACTCTGCTAACCAGAGACATGTTGGCAGTACAAAACAAAGAAAACAAGCTTTGGCAGTACAAAACAAAGAACACAAGCTTTAGGCTTGTGGGCGTCCTTCAAAGCCGAAAGTCCAACGTCTATCAGGACGAGTGATATGCTTGTAGCGAAAATTATATTGGAAAAGAGAGGAAACAGGGGGAGAGAAGTAGGATATGCTTGCAGAAGAAGGGGCATTGCGATCATGATTACCCTCTCTAGACCGTCGAGGGGCTTAGCCAATCCATCCGGACCCAGGATGATATGTGGGACGACAGTAGAAATCTGAAGCTCGATGAGTGCTCACGATACACCTGCTAGCTATTCTTGGTTGTTCTCACTAGCTAGGTCCACAAGCCTAATTACTTACAACCTTGTATCATAGCCACTCGACCCTACCATCGAGCTCGGCAAGATAGATGAACTTATCCATAGGAGTTGAGCAAATAACCCAACTTGAATTAGGAACAGTGAGCAAAGAACAAAAATCTCCACCGTTAGACGTAATTCCCCGGCGGTAAGACAAAGATCAGAGAAAAAAAATGATCAGAATATATACCTCACATCAGCTCTTGGAATCTCATACCCCGTCTGTACACCTTTCAACGAATATAGAGCCTCAAGCCCGTACTTCTTTAAGTCGATCCTCTAGCTCCGCCTTTGACGTCCAACAAAATTCACCATCAAGTGTGTTTGTCACAAGAACTTAACATCGAGTATCAGAATATCAATGGTTGCTTTCAAGGTTCATGCCCTTTGAAAATTATGAAAACTGAAGTCAATCATATGGCTCATCTGGGAGTAATCTTTAAAACAGGCATCCACCGTTCAAATTTTGGGGGAAAGTGGGAATTGATTGTAAAAGAACCAAACTTATTTTTTCTAAAGATAAATGGGATTATATTTACAAAACCCTGAAACGCATAAACAGTAAACAACATATTAAAAGGAGAATTTTCTGTGACCAAATAAAAAAAAATGGTAATTCAAGAGATTAAAAAATGGAAGAAAAAATAAAATTCAAGACTAATTAAGAACAAAGTAAATTAAATAAAGTTTGTTAAGTTTTTTTTTTTAATAATAAGCCCACATGCTGACATGTGGATAGTTTGGGTCACACTTGACAGTTTGCCTTGGATGGAAGTGGATGGAAGGTCCACGTTAATCCACATGTCATATTAATAAGATAAGATGACAAGTAGGTCCACGTTAATCCACATGTCATATTAAAAAGATAAGATGACAACCATCTAGGTGGTGGTCGAGTGGTAAGGATTTGAGATCAAGGGGTTTGCTCCCTCTGTGGTCTCAGGTTCGAGTCCTTGGTTGCTCATATGATGGCCACTGGAGGCTTACATGGTCGTTAACTTCAGGACCCGTGGGATTAGTCGTGGTGCGCGCAAGCTGGCCCGGACACCCACGTTAATCTAAAAAAAAAAAAGATAAGATGACGACAAGCATTAACAAAAACAAAATAGCAGGAGCAACCAAGTCATTTATTCACAAGTTCTTAAACAATTAATATAGTTATTAATTTTAATATTAGCACATCTAAACCATCTAAAAATACTAAAAATATAATTTAAAATAAAAAATTAATTTTTTTCAAAAACAATTTACCATCTATACTTCCTTTCATTTATTGATCTTTCATATTCAAAGAAAAAGGAAAAGGAAAAAAAAAATGCAATATGAATAGTACATTAAAACCTAACAAACTTTTATTGGATGGAACTTGATGGCTCATTGAAGTTGCTGAGAATGGCTTCACCAGTGTACCTACGAAGAGGTGGAGACAAACCAAAAGTCAAACTTGCTGGGAGCCATTCTTCCTTGGAAAATGGTGTCCTGCCCTTTTCAAGTTTCACTAGCAACGTCAGCAAAAGAACCGCAGCACGATTAAACATAGCATTGAGAAGAACCACTTCAAATCTTGTTAAAGAAAAAGAAGAGCAACGTGATCAAGGATCATTTATCGGTCTAATTGGGTGCATGATGGATCCCAGCAGCATAACGTGCTAAAAAATAGTCATAATTTAAGCACCAAATATTCCACTCCAAGGCTCTCTTATCTCATGAATTTGTACACAAGAAACTTTTAACTCAAAATTCATACAAATAACAGTGATCAGGTTAGAAATTCTCTCCCAGGCGCCAAGGAGCAACGGACAGCTGGTGTGTTCTTATTATCAGGTTCTTGAGTTTGACATCTGGTGAGGTAAGCATTTCAGGTTCCAAAAATGGGATCTCTACAAATTTTTCCACTGTGGGACCCATAATTGTGATGAGTGTGTACACAAAAGGAAGAATGGCCTCCTACCATCTGCTCAGCATATACAGTAGTGAGATTTCTGTACTTGCACAGACCAGATAAAATCCAAATCAGCCTCTCATGGATTCTCCATCAGCACCTTGGTTCCTGCTTCAGTTGTATTCCAGAAGGCGATCCAAACATCATTGACTAGAGATACAAGGAAAAGAAAACAATATTAACAAAAACACTCGATCAAAGGCTTTGTTATCTAACAATGTTACTTCAGCAGCACCAGCACATCCATAGGTCTAATGCCTGATAAAAGTTCCAGATTTGACAGCATACCAGGAACAAATCAATTATCTAGCTAGCCACCCAAATTCGAACTGTCTAGCAGAATGGCTGGTGATTACATCAAAGTAATTGGACTTCAAAATACCACCCCAAGAAAGGGTGGAGGTAGTCTAAATAAATGAAAAAAAAAGGGACCAGAAAACACCAAGATAAACAGTTAATAAAGCAACACATTAAAACAAGAAAACATCATGAAATCTGCATGTAATGTTCAGGCCACAGGTTAAGAAAAGATATTCTGTGGAGGGGACGCCTAGGCAGAAATAAAACACACATAGATGATCAGCTAAGAAACTTAATGAGGTACATGTATTGATGAAACGAATCACAAAAGAAGACAGAGACTAAATGATCTCCACATGGTCCTTGCATAAATTTTTATGAAATAATGATCAATCTGAAACATATTTAAGTTTTAATATATTCTTGATGTGATACTGTATGTTAACTAAGGGGAAATATATATACCAATCATCCAGGGTCATCAGATCATCTGTCTGTATTGGTGACATACCAACAAAATGATCTCGTATTTTTTTTTCTTTTCTAATATTCATTGACATATATGAGTCTTAATGTGACAACACATAAAGAAACTCATCACTCGTCCATTGAAATGTGCAATCAAGTCAAGTTGTTTATAGATTACCTGAATTGTATTGGGCAATATACTATTTGCAAGATCCTCATCAATGGACACAGGCAGTGGTGGCATCCGGCTCATTATTCCAGGCATCTCTCTCATACTGCAAAAAACAAAGTAGGATTTTCCACAACTTAGCAATTTGTAGACAACAAATAGTGTGGCATGTCACAGGACCAATACCAAAATGAAGATATTGAGAATCCACATACTCGTTCAGGATGGCAGTGATATTGTTCCTTGTGGAACAAAAGAAGACAATGTTATCCTGCAACTGTTTATGAAAATGTTAAACTAACTAACAACCCATCCTTGGAAACCACAACTAATCTTCTGGCACTCTAGACCTCTTAACTCAAATTCAAAAACAGTATCATAAACTGGCTTCTCAAACCTCTTAAATCAATGAAAATAACAGTGAATGCAGAAATAATTAAATAAAAGAAAAAATGTTAAGAAATAATATTAAAATCCTCATAAAGCAGCAAACCTTAGCAGCAAGATCTTGATTTGGTGGAATTTACACCAATGTTTTTAAATAAAGGAGCAGTTTTGCTTTTCATCACAGGCATTAAGGGCATAGCCATTGTTACCATGAATTGTTGGCAACTGAGCAAATTGTCTCTAATGTACATAGTTTAAACAATTTCACTATAATTAACAATGCTAATATTATAGACGAATAAACATCACCAATTTTAATAAAACGCAGATATCCTTTTTCCAGCTAATGAGCCTAAAATTAACATTCACAAGAAAAGTTTCACTAAAAAAAAATTATTCCTTTTTTTTAAATAAATAAATAAATAGACAAAATAGTAAATCTACACAAATCTAAAAATCCCAGACTAAAAAATTGTATGACTGCTTGTAAACTGAGCAATTTAAAAAACCAAATGGCTGAATTTTCAAGTGCAGCAACCATGATAGTTGCAGGCTGCAAGGTGACATGATAGTACCATTATCCAAGTCCATGTTGACATCCCATGGAACCAGTTTCTCAAATATGCATGTAGAAAGGGAGATGATGCAAAGAAAAGATATGAAAATTCAACACAGAAGATGGAATTCCTTCTATAATGTTACATGGGTTTGTGCGCTGGTGTTCAGGGTTGGCTCACAGCTAGGTGTCAACAAAGTCAATTTTCATGATAATTTTGATATTTTGTTGAGTCTAGTACCCAAACCATTAACCACATAACAGTGTTGATATGGGCATGGCAAGATAAGGTCAAGCTTCCAAGTAACATGATTGTAAACATCAAGCTTAAGTACCTATACTCAGAAGAGAATCCCTTTTCCACAAGCAGTACATTTGCAAATGTCCCTCAAATTGCACAGTGGCATTTTCCAGTTTCAACCATACTTGCTATTCATTCCCTTTTGTATTAGTCAAAGTAGTAAAAATGTGATATAAAGTATCTACAGTGCGATTTATAACAGGCCATGCATTTAATTTCAACCATTCAACGCAAGACCTTTTATGGCTATACGGTAAATGTGTTTTTTTCTTTTCACCAGTGGAACAAGGCAAGCACTTAACCAGCCCAGAAAAACACAATGTCATCTTCACAAAGATCAGGTTATAATTATTATGTTTAGAACAAATTCTGTTGACAGGGAAAAGGGCAAGCAATGTTCCTAGAATAACAAAAGATGTTGCCTTTGATACATTGCATCTGAGTTCAACCCATTGATTATTGAAGATCGATCAAATTTCAAGAATTTTATGAGAAATAGCAGCCACAACACTTCCTTTGCACACAGTGCTGAAAACTTTTGATTGTGCAACCACTTCTTGCTATGAGCTAATATCTATGTTTTAAACCAACATTTAAAAGATAAAAATTAGTATTATTCACCATTAATGTAGAAAGGTTAGCTGATATCTGACTAAAAGCTTGAGCATTCTGGTCCAAGAGTCTGGTCGTCCCACTAATTCCTGAAAGCCACCAAAATAAATGGATATTAGAAGTATTATGAAGGCAAAGAGTAATTTGAACAATGAAATAAGGCATAATAGAATATATAAAGCAAAGGGGAATAGTGGAGATAAGAGAACAAGTATTTTCAACAAGGCAGAAAATGTTGAATAATATATGACAAATTACAAAGATATTGAATTGAAAGAAAACAACCATATTGAGAAAACTGTTCTTCTACAGCCAACTTTTGACAATGTAACTTTTTCCAAATACCTTCTTACAGTTCCTTTTCCTACTAAAAGGCCATTCAATCACATAACTGCCCAGTTACCATGCTTTCTCTGGAACAGGTTATTGTTGCTCAATTGTTCCACGAAAGATCAAAACATTGCATTTTGATCCAACCAAAACAAAACACCAACATAACACCATGTTGTGGTCTGCACCATAACCTAAAGCATCTTATAAATTCATCTGAGACTAAAGGCCCATTTCTATGCATGATCTCAATCCATAATCTCCAGATGTTTTTTCTTTTTATTTGAGCTTAGCTTAGATTGGCAAAGTGGTCAGCAGAACATCTGCCATGACCAGGATGGATATTGGACAGCTAAATCTCAAAATGATGCAGGCATCATATGGCTACAGAAAAAGGTTCCAAAGGGAAAAACCAAGACCAGAAACATTCTCTAGCCATCCAGAACGTCCAATAATAATTCCACATCAATTATGAAAGCAAAATCCAACTAGCTGGTCATTACCAGCTGTGTCCACAAGAACTAACGGCTTTTTCGTTGGGTTTTGGAACCCAAATTGGAAGGGCACATTTATTAAGAAAGAAATTCAATTCAACAACATAGGGTTCTTTAAATTGTTTAGTCACTAGTTCGACATCTGATTTTCTTCATGCTTTAAGTTCTCTTAGTGATGAGAGTCCTTTATGCAAAGTAATTTTAAACAGCTTAGAAACGCATAAATGGGCAGTGACTTTTAGTCATCAACAATCTTTTCACCACAAAGAAAGCTCTTTAGCACAGAGCACTCTTTAAGACGCCCTGTTATGTTGAGCTTTTAAATGAAATGGAATTTTAATTGCTCTTCTGGAATCTTAGCAGTTATCAAGCTGTTTTCTTTCTAGCATCTTGCCTATCAAAAGCAATTTGTCTCTTTAGCTCTCATCCAAATCTCAGCTACATAATATTATTTCATCTCTGAAAAATTAGATTATTAATTTTCTTATCCTCCCAAAACTAAATTTATTCCTCCAATTTACCACACCCCTTGCAAGATTGCCCAATTCTCACATTATCAAGCTATGAAACTCAGCTATTCTCACATTATGCTACATGAAAAAAGGTAGAACAAGAATAATCCGATCAAAGTGAAGAAATTGCAAGTAAGATTTTACACAAGTTTTCGACAACTTCAACAAAACACAATGCTTGAATGAACAGCTGTGAGGAAACTCATACATACATATTGATAAGTCTAAATTGCATTTATACTATGCTGCTGATCTGCAATTTGAGTTCAAATCATATAGCAAACTCCACCACATGAAAAGAGAAAAGGAGATTTGCACAAATAGGAACCACAAGTTACTTAACGCAGAAAACACAAACAAATGAGACATTAAACAAGGATGTTTTTCAAAAAATGTGAAAACTAACCTTCAAAGGGCAGTTCACTTTGGTCTGTATGGTGCATCATTAGAGGATATGAAGCCACATTCTGCAGTAAACCTGCAGTCATGTTCATCTTCGAGGATGATTCCACCAGCTTATCCTGAAGAAGCATGATCTTTAGAATACTGGTTCCTCATTCAACATTACATCCTAAAGACATTAATCATTTCAATCCATTAAGATAGAATTTATATTGTTGGTTCAAAGCTATATGTAAATAAGTTGTAAACATGAAGGTTATGTAATGGGATTTTTCATCACTTGTCCAGCCATGAAAATGTAATCAAAAGCTGAATTCCTGCTTCCATGAAAATTAACTATATATATCTGCCAGCAGCAACAGGGGGATGGCTGCTACAGTTTTCAACTTGGAGAAGGTATTCCCAATATAGATAAATTTCACATTTTAGAAAGACAATCACACCCAAAATTGTTACCCAAACCCATGAAACTATTATCCAGAATGAGGGATGCAGCCAAATTAACAATATTGGGGCCAAGCATCACATTTCTGTTTAAAGGACCGATATAATTATGACAATTAAAAGTTCAAAATTGAAGGCTGGTGCATCCTTTAACCTTAAACTTAGGCACAATTCTCTTTTTCGAAGCAATGAACCATATGATAAAACAAAACAAGCTAAGGTTACCTTCCTGCTGTTGATCTTCTTTCCCATGTTATAATCTTCTGCCTTCCTTCGCTTTCTCTGCAGAAGATTTTCATTACTTTTTTAAAGTCGCATAAGCAGATGTAAGGTTAAAGTTTACAAATATTTAGCAAGCAGTACACATGATCCATGATATTGGCATCTAAAACAGGTTTTTGTCAGACAAGCATATAAATAACTGATCATCAGATAATACATCAAAGCATAAAGACCCATCTGCCTAAGAAGATACCTAACTACAGTTGCCGTTGTACTTTATTCCGTTAATTAAACAAGCTTAAATTATTATCACTCCAAAGCTCCAAACCAAAGCCTACATGAGCAATAAACATCCGATGCAATCTTCTAATTGCAGCTTGATTTGGTTCAAGGAAATGAAAAAAATAAGAAATTCAACAAAAGAAGGTTGAATCTCACAACATTTATACTTTTTAATTGAAGAATGAACAAGAAGAGGGAAACCAAAAGGAGCAAAATCTATTTGATAATCAAAAAGTTCCAATATGATGAACGATGTCTTTCAAAAATTTCCAATTAACTACGGGGAAAGAAAAGCCTACCGTCATCCATCTACACCTCAACGCAACATCACGAACAGTTTTATCACGGAGCATGGCTGCAATCTTTATGTATCTCAGAATACTTGGTTCACCAGCATATCTGTAAATTTAAATTGACACAACACTGCGTGAAAATTATCAACAAAACCAAAATTAAGTAAAATCCTCCCTGATAGAAACCATTCCATACCATATTAGAATAGACTAATACAAATTTGGTTGCAACATAACCACATCAAACTAAACTTTAAAGCACAGAAAAAATGAGAAAGCTACTAAACCATCATCATCAATGCCAGGTGTAAGTACCCATGTTACATAAAAAATGAAGAAAGTTTACACACGAGTTAAGACACACAAAGTTTCAACTAAGATGAAAATGGGTAGGAAAAATAATAACCCTAGGAGAAAACAACCTACTTTTGAAGGCCTTCCTCCAGTTTGTACTGCTCCTCGACGGACCACTCAACAGCCAAGCCAGCATCATGCTTTAAGCCAGGAACGGAATCAAGAAGCAACGAAGAAGAGGCAGAAGAATTCCCAGCTTGAGCTTGAACAATTCCACCACTTCCACTACCACCAGGACTGTTATTATTACCAATCAAGCCGAAACTCCCAGGCAACATCAAGCTACTACTAGTAGTACTAGTATTAATCCCAAAGTACGACCCCATCCCCATGGGAATCATATCCGTTGTGCAGCCACTGTTTATAGCGCCAGATTGAAAAGAAATTGCGTGCCGATTAAGAGCAGAACCTAAGGTCCCCTCTAGGTGAAACCCTGTGTTAGACTTTGCAGCCATTTCCTCTTCCTCTTCTTCTTCTTTTTTGGGCTTCAAACAACCTTCATCGTCACGTCCAAACTAATTGAGCGCCGATCAAGAATCAAAACACCCCCGAATCGCAATTCACTATCAAAACAGCTGCTTCAACTAACGTTTTCAGTTGAAGAACCAAACGAAATTGAAAATTGAGCCCGAGATATAAGAAGAATCTCGCAAATGGAACCCTAATAGACAAAAGGCCCCAACTAAGTATGGTTCCAAAGCTCAAAAGAGAAAAACAAAAACTAGTGTACAAAATAAGTGAAAGAAAGGTCTAAATAGAAGAGGAGGGGAATGTGGTAATAAGAATGAGAAGAAGAAGAAGAAGAAGAAGAAGAAGAGGAAAGGTGGGTGATTGAATGGTTTACCTTTTTGAGGGCTTACTTTTCCGACGAAGCCCTAATTGGTTCTTTGCCTTCTATTCTATTTTATTGCCTTCTCCCTTTTCTCCCCCCTCCCTCCCTCCTCCCTCTCCTCACCACCTTCCACTCCAACAACAACACGTACGTGTTATACTATATTTATTTATTCTTTTATTATTCAAGATAATACTTAAATTCGAGAACTTTAAATAATATCAATTGAATTATAACTATCACACTTTACCCCATCGTGAAATCATTTCTTTAAAAATAAAATGGATTGATTGGAACGAGAAGACAGCATACGATATCAGAAATTATGAAACCAGAAAAAAGAAGGAAGGTTTTACAGGGGGGTTTTTCCGGTGGTAAGAAAAAGGGAGCATAAATTAATGTTGCAGTGCATTAATAGAATAATAATAAGGGATGGTGATGGATACAGATCTTGGAATTCAGGAACGGTGGCCATATCTTGGAATTCAGCAACAGTGGGGATCCCCATCAGCATTTGATGCCCAATTATTGTGGTCTCTCCACCTTCCCTTTTCCTTTCCCTTTTTTTTTAAAAAATATTGTTTTTATCCTCTTGGTTTTATTAATTTCTCCCCTTTACAGCCATCCCTATTTCTCCTCTTGTGATTTTGTTTTGTTTCTATTTGTTTTGCATCTTTTATTTTATAGACCTTTAATGATTTCAACAACAAGGGTTTTGGATTCTTGCGGTTCCATTTTCATCCGTAAGCTTTTGTCCAGACAAGATAGTACTCCTCAGCCTCCTCCCATGTCTACGAGAATAATTAATCAATGATGCAATTATATATATATATGAAAGTAATTATTTCCCTTCAGCATCAGTAATTATATCTGCAGTACGGTATTTGGAAATGATAATCAAACTATCAAAGTCAAAAAAAAAATAAAAAAAAATTATAATGTTTTGATTTGAACAAAACGTGTGGTTAAGTATGTGGGAGGAAATCTAATCTGAAAATGACAGATTTGATAAAACAAGACATTGAAAGTACATGTTCTCAAACAGTATATTTCCCTCCAATCGCCTCTTGCCGATTTCCTCGACCAGTTTGCGGTCTGATAATTGAGTTCTGGTGCCCGTTCATAGCATTGTGTTTGCATGTGCTTGGATTTCTATTAAGCTACTCTAATAATTAACCACTCCATTTAATGTCGGACTAAGTGTGTGTTTGTGATTAACACACATGGTTGGCTTTCTTTTTTTATTATTTCAAGTACAATTATTAAAGTACAAACCATACTTTCCAAAAACAAAAAAAATACATGTGTTTTGTTACTTTTTTTATAAATTATATTAAAAAAATACAACCACATCTCACCATATCTATATTTCAATTACACCCTAACTTGGAATCTTTTTCTTATTGGAGAGATAAATCATAAAACAACATAAAGATCACCTGTTTGGAAAAAATTGAGATGGCAACTCTTTGCATTGAAAATGAGTTTGGAATAATAATGACTCCAATTTTAACAAAATTAAAACTCCTAGTTTTACAGGAGAAAAAAAAGATCTAGGTGTTGTCCGGGCAACAATCATTCAGCCCAGGCAGCATGCCTGGATTCATTTTCTCTCCTAATAGGTTTGAAAAACTTACTTTAGCATAATACTTTTTTGATAGTTTTCTAATATCTCCACCCAAATTCTTTAATAATTATATATTATTTTAATACATATTATTTTAAATAAAATATAACTTTAAATATTATATGGTTGAAATTATTCTTCAACCACTCATCTCTGTTAAAGAAGAGTACTCATTAATTACAAATACTTTAAACTTTTTATGAATTCTCAATATTTTTAATAAATATATTTTTAAATTTTACCTTTTTAAAATATTATTTTACATTTTATATCTAAAAAAAAATACTAGAGCATTCAAAAATCTTTAAATTTATCAAAAAAACTTCTTGGAGGTATCATCTACTCAACTACCTTAACTATAAAAAAATTGATCAAATTACTAAAATTAAAATATTAATAAATTATCTAACACATAAATTTTACTTCTAAACCACTTAATTACCATGACAATTAAATCTTTATACTTGAATAAAACATTGAAAGAACCATCAAATATGAATATTGATAGTTTAGACGGTATTAGCCATGTATCTTACGATGTGTCAGCATTGTAGCAACCCATAAAAGCTTAAATTTATAATGTTTATTTATTTATTTTTAAAAAATAAACATATGATGTTATAATGCCCTTGGGTATTGATTTTCATACAAATCGGTCCTGAAATAGGAATCCTTAGACATGTACCAATTTAAAGGTGCCTAATGATATTAATTGAATATCACAAGGCTCTGGTTTTTTTTAGTGAAATATTTCACAGTTACCAAATATTTTTCTATAAAATATTTTATACATAGAATATTTTTTAATCCAAATAGATTTTTTATATAATTATCCATAAAAAATAATTGAAAGAGCTTTTAAACTAACAAAAAAAACAGTGTAAGGATGCCTAGAAATGTAAAATCTTTAGTGATAATACGATCTAAAATATTTTTATAAAAATATTTTTAATTAAAAAATAAATATTTTTTTAATTTTTAATATTATTATATTAAAATCATCAAAAATATATTATTTTGATATTTTTTCTAATAAAAAAATATGTTAAAAAGCTGTTTGAACCGCATAAAATAAATACACCCTTCATCTCGTTACAGGACTTCTATTCAATATATTACAGGCACATGGAAAGTGAATGTCATCTATTTTGTCAAGGTACAATCATAAATCCTCCTTTTCACAGAACTTGCATCTAAAAGTTCATTTGTAGCTCACGTTTCAACTTGTTGAATTGCATCCCGAGTTGCTTTGAATTGGCTCAATATGTCAAAACAAAAACAGAGGAAGCAAGTTGGCTTTTCAATGTTAGCGCAGGGCAAAAGGGAGTTTCCTCGAATGAAAACTATATACAGTTCGATGGCTCATCTCCCCATTTCTTCCGCCAAGACTCGAGTGCAAGCATTCATGTGAGAAATTCTCGTCTTATAATGGACTGTAGTTCTATTTCATTTTCCTGTTAATTTCGTGATAATCAACCATCCAGGGTTACCAGTTATAATTATGACACCCGTGTGAAAATACAGACAATAATAGCGACGAACGGGATTAATAACGTAGCAATGCTCTGCTGCGTCCTAATTTAGCATACCAATAGTGTTACTGCCTCAACTAGAATGATTAACCATAAAATTAGATAAAATCAAGCAGTAGCCAAGTTTTCTTGTTCTTGCAAGACAGCTATGACATGGATGCTTGATGGGAGACTTCAAGTGGACTGAAATTCGTTGTTTGATTCAGAGTTTGCACAATTTCATGGTATGCATCAAATTGGTCCTTACAGAAATGGCAACCATCTAGTCGTATGTGTAGGCGACATTAAGAAATCCAAGCTTTTCCATGAAAAAAGAAAAGAGCTGCTCTATGAATCGAGAGAAAAAAAAAAAAGATTTTTATTTACAAGCCTTGCTGATAAAAAAGAAAAGAAAGAAAGAAATCATCCAGAAAGAAAAGTACTTTGCAAACATACGTACCCTGGAAACTAGTTAAAGAGGGACTCAATTAAAGCTGGATCAATGTTTAAAAACACGAGGTCACCCTGTCATTTTCCGCCAAAGTCGACAAGTATTTAACATGTCAATCGTATTAAAATTTAAAAACTAGATTAAATTCGTTTAAATTTGATAAAATTAATAAAATTATACATTCCAGTAACCTACACCTTAATATTTTCATTATTTTAAATTTATATCTTGTAAAACTTGTACAATTTAAGCATAATTATTATAATTTTTTTAACAAGTTATTTATTCCATAAAATTAGAGTCAAATTTTTAACAAGTTATTTATTCCATAAAATTAGAATACATATTCATTTTTTATAATTTTATTTAAATTATTAACATATCTATTGATATATTACTTTATTTTAACTGATAAATATATAAAATAAAAATTATAAATTAGCATGGTTAACCTTTCAAGTAATTAATGTTAAATTATTTATCAAAATTTAAAAAGATTTATTTCTTGTAACAACGAAGTAATGTGTTAATTTGTTCAAGAAATAGAAGAATTAATGTAAATAAAATAAATATATTTAGATTTTTTATTGTTTATTTTATTATAATTATAATTATATTATATTATATTATTAATTAGTATTTAATTGAAATTGTTAATATATAATTAGTTAGAATATTTTACTTATGTTATGATTTGAATTTATATTGTATATAGTGTAAAAAAAATAAAAATTTAACATCCTTTGGCTGGATGATTGAGGACGTACAGCTCCTAAATTTGATCTTTAACCATCAGCAGGTAGACAGAAGCGTTTAACCGTCGAGTCTAGCTGGAAGCAGCAGGCCAGCCCGACTACCAAAACTGAAACAGCAGACGGAAATTAAAAGGAGGATACAGTTGATCCCCGTTGACAATGCCTTTGTCTCCTTGGCTTCTCATGACGGAAGATCCTCAGTCCGTGCATTAAGTGCTTCTATTAATGGCGAGGGTAAAGTAAATGAGTATCAGTGTGCCCATGCTGGACCTGAAGCAACAATTATGAGTGTCAATAATCACATACAAGGAAAACGTAGGACATTCAAGGAGGAGCATGCATGTGTTTCAGCATCGAGTCCAATATAGATCTCTAGTCATTCCTAATGCCCGATCAACGATCATTGCCAGATAAAGGAGAGCAGAGATAATAACTAAAGACATTTTTTATGACGATAAATCCAAATTGTGAGAACTGAAAACTTAATCATGGGATGGATACTCACATGGTTGCAAACATGAAAAGGATCTTTCGTGGGTTGATTGCCATTAACCGGTTAAATCTCTTATTCCATCCATCAACTGGATCTACGAGATTAGGGCCACTGGGGATCGTCAGGGAGGGACCGAGTGCTTTGTTGATAACTAGTGGCTGCTTCAAAGGCTCCAGCGGAGAGCTCCCTGCCACAAAATATGCAGGAAACTTGAGTTGTATGCTAGCACCAAATACTTACCTGCCATAACATATATTTGAGAAGTAGCACAATAAGGCTAAATAGAATATTTGGGATTTTTCATGTTTGCTTCTCAACTAAAAACAAAATTAATCCCAAGTTCATACCCACCGATCCATGCAAGAGTATGCAGCATAATTAGCCTATTACTAAAGCTGTCCCCCACCAAATTTCTTAGTGCTATGGGTTTCATGGAATTGGAGAAATATTAATTGGTGTAGCTTCTCAAGTTTAACTAATTCATAGGAAGAAGTTGCATCTTCCACATGATCAATAGAATATGAATTGATTAGAGTTACTTAATTTACTGGAAGCCTTGGTTTACATTTGAGCATCTTATAAGCACTATTAAAATGATAGACATGAATTAATCTGTAAAAAAATGATATAGCTTCACAATCTGAATCTACCGAAGGGTATAAAAAAAACCAAATTGCCTTGGCAATCACATCCGCGTACCTTTTATTGGAAGTTTCTTTGCTGGTTCATCAACGTCTTCATCTTCAGTACCAGTCCACCGTTCCGCTCGGTAAGACGATTTCCGAGATAGTGCTCTCTAAATGCATGCCAAGAAAAAAGTAAATAATATGTCATGTATGCATGAAATACCACAGATATAAAATGATATATTTTGGAATTGAAAAAAGGGCATGCTGCTCACTGTCATTTTTGGACTCCCAGAGCTCCTATCCGATGGTTGTGCAAGACTTGCGATGTCCAACACAACAGCAGCAGCTTTATCCATAGTTGCGGTATCATTCTGTTGGCATTGACATCTCTTCAATACTCAAATACCAATTAAACTTTATGATTGAAGGCATGCAAATTACTAGTAAGTTCATTCTTCTATGTTGCTGGCCGATCAAATTATCTCTGAAATCGCAAATGCAGCAGTTGGAGAAAGAGAACAAATTCTCCAAGGAGCATTCACATGCTTTGCCTAATCTGTATTGTTTCTATCATTTCATGGAGTCCACATTCATTATCAAGGATGCTATAGACCAAAAACTCCATGTCTTTAAACCACACAAACCTCACAAGTAACTTCTTCAATAGTAATGTAAAATACAGAACTATCAAAAGAAGGAAAAAAGGAAAACAGAGAAGAAAACAATAACCAGCACACTCTGGACATAGTATTACTGCTGTTTTTTCCATTAATATTCATTGCCAGTTTTTTAAGACGCTTGAATAATACTGTTAAGAGAAGCTAGCAAGCTTAAAGATCAATTCAGTTGGAAATCTTGTAAAAGAAAAGAAGAGGAGGTTAGCTACAAAATTGCTCACCATCAATGAGGTTGTTAACAACGTTACCCTCCTCCAATTGATCCAGTAATTTTCTCCTTAACATCATCTAAGTGTTCAATGTTACCCTTTTGTTCATAGAGCCTGTTCCATCGATAATCTCCCAAGTCCTAACTTGATAGTTGAAAACACTAACTAGGTGTTTAGAGAAAAAAAAATTATATTTTTTATTGCTCAAGAAGAACTTGGTTCCACTTGTATTGGATTCCACTTCAAAATATCTACTATAATATTCTCAATAGTAATCAGTTACGTTCTATACCTTGCATTCTCATATATAAATGCCTTGTATTTTATATTTGAAGTAAGATGTATTTTTTTTCTTCTTATCACAGATACGTAGATAATTATAGAAATATCTTATAAGACGCTGTTCATAATATGAAATGTGTGGATTTTTTTCAGAACTTTGAAATCAAAATAAATACAGGTGCAAAGATTAGATCAAGTAATTATATTTTTCTTTTTTAAAAAAAGAAAAAGATTAAGTTAACTAACAATGAGAATGATAAATTTATCACATAATAGTGAAATGTCAAATGCGACTGCCTAAGTGGCTGTGCAAGTGTATAATGATAGCTTAGTAGTAGTGTGGTGCCCAATAGTATCCCATATCAAGGTCTGAATATTAGCAGCAAAGAAGGGATTTTGGTTGAAATTAATTTCCTTATGCATAGACTCCGGATCATGTAGCGTGGAAAACAGGAAAAATATTACTAATGCCTAAAGTAATTCGAGACAGGATGAGTTTATTATTAATCCATATAAAACACAGTAATGAAACTAGCCCAGATCGACAAAACCTGAGATTCTAATAGTACAGGATGAATTGGTGGATGTGCTGAAACCTCAGCAAACTGAGAACAGAATTGAAAATGTCACTTTTGGGAAGGTCTCGTGCTTGAGAAAGGGAAAACAATCTTAAACCAATGCAATTTTCATATAGCAGTAGCTAGCATGTTGTCACCCCAGAAGATCAGGATCAAACATCTTGAAGAGGAGAAGTTAATTAGTCAAAGAATAAACAAAATGCCATAAGAGGCCTGATCCAACTAGGTACGTAAGCTTTCCGATCATTATTTCAATTAGCTATGAGAAGAGTGCGCCTAGCCGCCTACTTCTTCTAGGACCACCCTCAATGCAATGTGAGAAATCCTAGGCACCAAAGATCAATTCAAGTATAGAAGCAGTATCCCATTTGTTTCTATCTATTCTTTCGGATTTTCAGAAAAGATTTTATTTTAGTTGGCACGTAGCTGCCCCATCATGATTAAGACAGGAATGCTCAGGGGGCAATCACCAAGCACACATGCATGAATGCAATGCAAGCTGGCACAGAAGATTTCTTTTGAAGAAGCTGAATAATTAAATCTCTCATCCGAAAATCATCTAAATCAAAACATCCAGGGATATGAACAACGAGGTTGTGACAATGCCTATGCTTTAGCATCGGTAGAACATCGATGGCTTCAGGCCATAGGAATCACTCACTTTGCCGTTTTATTAAATCCAATGGCTTGAAGATCTTCTGCACTACACGATCCTTAAAACACAGACATCCTAGTCTTTCTCGTCAATAATACTATCCGACAAGCTGACAAAATTCAAAGTGAATTTATCGGCTAAAAAGTTTTAGTCAGGTTTAGAAGTGTAGTTGAGTATTTTTAATTTAAAAATATATTAAAATAATATTTTTTTAATTTTTAAAAAATATTTTTAATATCATTAAATCAAAATGATTTAAAAATAGAAAATATTAAATTAAAATAAAAAAATTAAATTTTTTCAAAAATATTTTTTAATTCATAAAAAAAATAAAATCAAATTAAATCAAGATTTAGGCAAGAGATGGGTCAGCCAGACCACGACCACACGTAAAAGTGATGGCATAACCAAAAGATGTCTAATATTTGTCTTTTGTAAAGGCTGTTCCTGTTTTGGCGTTTCATGGGATATCTGCTGTATTTGTCCACAAAGAAAAGAGATTCCCCTGTCCCTGCCCCACCCCCACCCCCACCCCCACCCCCCTGCTCGTATGTTTCTCACTCCCTCATGGCCTTGGACGGAAGAACTAGATTCCAAATTGCATAAACATAATATATGAAAAAGTTCCCCAAAACAGACTCGCACTGTTACAGCTAGCATTCCGCTGAAGCAAATGCCAGCAACCCGCCGGAAAACATCTTTTCTGGCTGAAGATCTCGAACCCACATCTGTGGTAAACCTTTTCTGAGTTCATGGCTGGTTTTGTTTCACGTACCTAGGTTGCACTCCTTGTTTATATTTTTGGTTTTAGTGTCAAAGGCCCTACTCAAGAGATTCTCATGGATTCGACCTTTCTGAACCATCCCCCAATTCCCATCCCATGTATCTTCTTGAATTAGGAACGTCTTCTTTCCTTTTATGTGTATAGGGTCAGGTAATCAACCTTACCAACAAAAAGTTTTCCTGTATAGTGTGCGCAGCCCCCACTAACCCTGGCCATAATTATGCCAGCTGGCATATTAATTGTCGGGGTCGCAAGGGATTCAACAAAAAACGATGATATCAATCATGTGTTAATTTAAGATAAACACACAAACTGAAAAACAAGGAGCCATTGCAAACAGACCAGAAAGAAAAGATGATGCTTTGGTCGGAGAGGAGGCCACGGACGATTAGAAGCAAAGCCAAGAGGCAGCGTTAATCGTCGAACTAATCAGCTTTGCCCATGACAAAAAAGGATATTGCAATATAATTAACATCGAATTAGTGGGAGTGAATTTATTGAGCTAGAATGCATATATATATATATATATGAATTACTGTATCTAAATTTAAGAGTCAGAGAACTATGAGAAGCTGCATCAGTACCTGTGCGGACAACTCCTCCATTGTAGAGATAGAAGCTGAGCTGAGAGGCCAAGAAATTAAAGATCCCCCGCCCCCTGTTCAGTACCGATCAGGCAAACGGATATAGATAATATACGATATATATATATATATATATAACAGTCTCTTGAATCTTGGAAGAAGCAAGCTCTTGTCTCTCTCTCTCTCTCACTGTACTCTTTCAGGAAGGAGGCGGAGAGGAGGAACAGCAGGTGGAGAAAAGGAACAACAACCTTTTTTTTCTTGCATCTTCCGTTATAAGCTGCTAAAGAGTATTATATAATATTTAGATAAATATTAAAAAAATAAGAAGAAGCGATAGATAGATATGTAGTTGGAGCTCTTTCTTGGAAATGAGGTCCTATAGGGAAGATTTGCTGTATCTTACTTTAACTAGTTATTTTAAATGTGTCAGCTGTTTTTATTTTGAAATATATTAAAATAATTTTTTTATTTTTAAAATATACAAAAATTCAATTTTTTTTAATCACAGATTCTCTAAGTTTCTTTGTGGTGTGTTTCTCTCTGGCTCTGTGTCCGTTCTGGCACCCACAATTCTCTAAGTTTCTCTCTGGCTCTGTGTCGGTTTCTTTACGTGACCACGGCAACTTTTAAAGTAAATCACAAAGTTAGGTTGTTTGATAATGATAAAATACAGTTTAACCCGTACAAATTTTGCTAAAACTACATCTTTATAGAAATCAGCTCTCATTGCCACCAACCTGCAAATACAGTGGAGAGCTTCATTTTTATTAACTTAAATGAACACCGAAGATTAACTTTATTATTCATGGGACCAGTGAAGTCATTTTTTACTGTCCTGACAACTGGACTGAAATTAAATTTTATTAAATTAGATTCGATGTAATTAAAATAAATTTATTTTTATTTTTATTTTTAATTATATTTTATTTAAAAAATTAAAAAAATATATTTGATAGCATGAGATTTACATAATTTAATCGCAATCTAAATTTTATTTCTTGTGATATTTTATTTGATGTCATTACATGCTTGAAAAATAAATAAAACTATAGTTCTTGTTAAATGAATTTTATACACGATAAAATTATAAATAGTTTAATAAAATAATAAAAAATATTTTATATAAGTATTATTTATTTTATGATGTAATAGCAGTAATTAAATTTACAATATTTAAATTAAAAAATATCAATATATGTATATTTTAGTTATTTTATAATCTCAATCTAAAAAGTATTATTTTAACTAAATTATTAAAAAAAAATCAACTTTAATTTCAACTATAATTTTAACCAAATATATATAAATACTAAATCAACATCAATTAAATCAATTAAATATATTTTTTATAAAATAATTTTTTTAAACTATAACCATAAAAATTACCACAATACCAAATATATTTTTCATCTTATCCATGATATTATTTATTTTATGGTATTTTTTAAAAAAATCCCCTTTTCTTTTCTTTTGTATGGTTACTCAAAACTTTGTTTAACTCTAACCCCTCTATTTATAAATTAAATTGAATGTCAACATATCAACTGTATATGGCAATTTTGCTGTAATTCTAATTGATTGCATGCACTTTTTTTTTTAATATTTGAGAGTATAATTTTAAATTTTAATTTTTATCATTGAGTGTCTTTACTATTAAAAAATTATCAATTAAATACTTCTAATTTTAAAAACTAATAAGTAGTTATCTTGTATTCTCATGAATGCCTATATTCCATAAATTTAAATGAAATTAAAAATTAAAATAGCAAAACAGTAACAACAATTCATTAAAAATAAAAATAAAAATAAACATTCATAGTCACATAACCCCATACAAAAGCTAATAATGTCAAAGTCCTCGGGGACATGGACATCGATCTAGATGCATCAAGAATCCCATTACCAGTCAAAGCCATTTTAACCAGGCACTCTCTTCTTATAAGTTGTGTTATACTAAAAAAATCAGACTTGTACATTCTTTTAGCTCATTTTAGAATTTGGTAGTAATTATTTTTATTTTTTTAAAAAAATATATATTAAAACAAAATTATTTTTAATTTTTAATTTTTTTAATTAATATATTAAATAATTTAAAAATAATTTTTTTTAAAATATAATTTTAAACGAATTTCCAAATATACATTTAGAAAGGATGTTTCTTTCCTCAGCAGATACATATAAACTGCAATGAACAGTGTCTTGTTATCGTGTTGTTTGTTTTTTATTTTAAAAGTATTTATAAAAAATTTCAATTTATTTATTTTAAAATTAATTTTTTTATATTTTCATATTATTTTAAAGTGTTGATATTAAAAATAATTTTTTTAAAATAAAAAATATATATTTTTAAAATAAAAAAAATATTTTAAAAAATAAATGTAATTATATTCTCAAAGAATACTGTATATCCCTATTCAAATCCTTTGTAGTTTGAATGTGCCAACGGCATGTTTAATAGGAAGTAATGTAATGTAATTAACAGCACAAATAATATTGTAACAGAATGAACTGTGATTCCATTCCATATACCAATATTACCTCAGTAATTCACTCGCAATTACTAAAAAAAGAAAAAGAAAAAAAAGAGGAGTTGTTCTTCTTGTATGACCACGGGGATAACACCCAGAAAACAATCTCAGCTGAACAAGACAAGCAGTGCCCTGTGACAGCAGCGATATATCCCTTCAACAAATTTCAAATTGCGAAATATGTAACTCAAAACTGCTATGGTTGCAAGCTAACTAAACCAAAAGAAATACGACTGGAAGTGGGAAACTTTACATGATTGGACTCTACAAACGCCTTGTTGAAGAATCAATATATTGTTCGAGGTGGGGAATCAGAAGACATTGTTTTCCAAATTAAAGCCGCCAAGTTTACTAACCACTCAAATGGTCAAATGTTCTTCTCTGGGCAAGCTCTGAACTGTATCTGACCATCTTCCAGGTGAATAGTCACTGCTATTAGATGAAATTTGAGCCTCCGCCCTTGCGTCTCTGATCATCTTCAAAACATCCCTCATTGACGGCCGGTTCTCTGGCGTGAGTGAGACACAAGCCATTGCAATGTTTACAAGAGCCTGAAGTTTCTCCTCCGCTGCCTCATTACCGGAGGCAGGGTCATCTCCAGACTCAGTCTCTTCCTCGCGTACTGACCGAACCCACCTGGGAATATCGGGACCATGCTCCTGAACAAGGTCCTGGAAGGGAGTCTTTCCAGTCAGAAGTTCCAATAGGAGCACGCCGAAGCTGTAGACGTCAGCTGGTTGGGTAGGTGGTTTTCGCACGTCTCGGATTTCAGGGGCTCTGTAGAAGAGAGAAGTGGCACTGGGTTCCTCCAGCGAGTCTGGATTTCGGAACGTGGTCAGACCATAGTCAGTAAGGCAGGACTCAAATTCAGGGCCTAAAAGGACATTCGAGGATTTCAAATTCCCATGGGTTGAACCAGGGTTCTGGTGGATATAAAGGAGTCCAGTTGCCAAGTCCTCTGCTATTTTGAGGCACGAAGTCCAGTGAAGAGGCTTTCCACCGCCTGAAGTTCTAGTTCCTGTACAAGAATTCAGAAACTGTTAATGCAATATACCAAGAGAAATCTCCAAATAGGAATATAAACGCAGATGATAATCTTGCATTAGATTTTCTATGGGCCATGACCAAAATTAATGGATCCACCTTGAAAGGAAAGAAAATTCTAAGGTTATTTATGCAGAAGTGTATTGTATGGCACAAAAAAAGGCCACTGATGAATCTTCCAAGTTGAGCTGAGGTCGGAATCGCAGTTGCTTCCACCCCAATAATAATACACTTCAAAAACCTCTGAACATTTTGTTGTGCCTCATCTTCTAGCATATAAATATTCAGTTCTCAAATCCAGTCAGTACTCGTGACGTCAACCTTCCAAGAACAAAAGTGCATTCAGGCAAAAAATTTCAATACATCCATGTTTGCGAGTCAACAATTACTGGGTTAGCCAGAAGGGTAAGGAAGCAAGCATGTTACGTGATGAGACAACAACAAACACAACTTCAAGCAAAAACTATTTGAGCTCGAATCTTTACAAAAGCAATTCCAGCACAAGATAAGAGGTTATAGCAGCTAGTTTCGCGCCCTGCTCGCTAAGAGATGATGTTTAATTCAATAACCCTCAACCAGAGAACTCAAACTTGCTCATTCTTATTAGGCTCCTGAGCAAAGATACAAGACCGTTTCAAAGAACCGGATTGAAGGGAAAGTTCTCTAGGGTTCGACATAATGCACCTCGTGAAACAATAATAATATGCTTGTTGGTAAGGAAAATTAGCCTTTTTTCTAATTTCTACAGAATAAATGTTGGGCATTGTCACAATCTATTAAGGAAGCATAAGCTAATAACGGAACCTGTTCAGTGGGTATATTTAGGTCAGCGGTACTCTCTTTAAGGAGAGGGAGTCAGATTTTCTTCGATTCCTAATCTTGTCATAAGAAGAAAAAGACTGGAAATAGCATGGAAGCCCTATAACCATGCAAGAGACACAATGCCACTCAATTCAAAAGGGAAAAAATGTGAAATTAAGGAAGCCCAGAAGAGCAGTTATTTTATCAACCACAAAAACAATCCCTTTTAAGTTTCGTTGCTAGTTGGATGTTTAAAAAACGAATTACTGTATCACGAAAGTAATCACTAATCACACATTTGCAAACAGTTTCGTTGCTAGTTGGATGTTTAAAAAAGGAATTACTGTATCACGAAAGTAATCACACATTTGCAAAGCGGAGAATGATGAACCGACATCTACGGCACGTGTGAGTGGGACAAGTCTAACATGCGGGGATGAGACGAGGCTACGCTATCGGTTTATTAGCTGTCGATTAAAGGCATGAGCTTTTTCGAGATTGAGTTCTAATTCTCGAAAAAAGAAAAGGGTGTCCTTGTCTTCCTCAATCTCTAGAAGGAGGAGGATCGCCAAGTGATATAAAAAAAAGAAGAAGTTATTACACATTATTATTATTATTATGGTGAGAACCCTAGACCCATCACCATTAGATCCTCGCCATGAAAGTATAAAATCTAAACTGGGTAAGCTCTAAACATGGGTACAATGTCTATAACTATTTCAGTCAAAACCCTAGACCCAACACCATTAGATCCTCGCCAAGAAAGTATAAAATCTAAACTGGGTAAGCTCTAAACATGGGTACAATGTCTATAACTATTTCAGTCAAAACCCTAGACCCATCACCATTTTACCGCATGGTCACTGCAAAGCCAATAACGATGGATATGATCATCTCCAAAAAGTTTGCATTAGCAGTCCTAGAAAAGCGTATTAGCATTGTCTCTCTCTTCTTTTCTTTTCTCTCTCTCCCTCTCTCTTTCTTTAATGGTGTTGTCTCCCCTTTTTTTGTGTTCAATTTCTAATGGATGGCCCTGAGCTCTACCAACTCATTTTCCTGGGAGTGGGGACACAGGGAGTACACGATAGAGGATCCTGCACGGCCTAGAAGTACTAGATCCAACGGTCGACATGTTCACGTGTACCAGTCCACTGTTTTTTACTTCGTCGACCTCCTCCTACAGAGTTTCTCACTCCTTATAAAATAGAATGGCACTTTGAACGTCATACTTCTCCTCCTATCCAATGTGTCTGTGTCTATATGAACACAGTCTATCTAACGTGGCAGGTGGCCATGATTTTAATGGAGGGAAGGGACCATGGTACACCATTTAGCTCCTGGCATTTATGATATATGGGCAATGCATATGGAGGTTTTAAGCATTTGAATGTACACTTCAAAACCATATAATATTGCAAAATGACTGCCTAGAGCTGAGCACATTCATTCAAGTTCTACAGACCAGCGTGGTTACTCATTCCTTCGTGCTCACTATCACACGGAGCACTCCCTTAATGCTTTAATTCACATTGAACAGTGTGCTTAAGAGTGAGGAGTTTGACCTCATGCCATGCTCTCTCGTTAGTTATTAGCAGTCAAAACATGGACTTAGCTTCACCAAAACCAAAGTATTGTAAATTCTCATTGGGGTGTATGACCAGATTCGGTATGATTAGGTGGTCAGCCATGAACTCATTTCCTACTGCCATAACTTATTCATGCAGCATGGTTCTCTATCTGCCTGGTACCCTAGAGTCGAGGGGTTTAAATTGTTTAATGTTTTATAGAGTGGACCGTCAATATTCACATTAGGGTTTGTCATGGAAACCAGGGGACTAGAGGTAAAAAACAAAAGAAATGGCAAAGGAAAGCAGAACAAAATGACTGATCAAATCAGAGAAATAAAGCAATACTAATTATTAGTAGAAAACATGTAATGATTTCTCCGACATACCGTGGAGGAGAGAAAAGAGACTGCCGTTGGGGAAATAATCATATACAAGTAGCCTTTCCTCCTTAGCCTGAAAATAAGCCCTGAGGGGGACCAGCATGGGATGCCTTAGCCTACCAAGCAGTTCCATGTGTCTCCTGAACTCCCCAAGCCTAGGATATCTTGAATCTTTTAACCTTTTAACGGTCACGATGAACCCGGACTCCATCACAGCTTTGTATGTACTCCCTATAGTTCCCCTCCCCAAAGTCTCCGCTGACGCCTTCAATAAATCCTCCAAGCTGTAACACATCTTTTGGTCCCCAGCACCCAAGAACACCAGACTCCCTAACCCCTCACCCTCCCATGAAAACCCCCCCTGTCTCCCACCACCATTACCATCCATGCCGCCGCCTCCGCCGCCACCTAATGCTTGTGCTTCTCCTCCTCTTTCAGCACCAACCACCCCTAAAACCGATGACCCCTCTTTCTTGGGGCCATTCTCGAAACAAAAACAGCGTGCCAAAAGTAGACAAATTATAACAAACATAAACCCGCCAACACTTCCTGCTACAATCTTGATTATCTTGCTATGTCTGGAGGATGGTTTTGAAGTTGGAGAAGTTGGACTTGGAGATGGTCCTAAATTTGGATTGTTGCAAGGATTTTGAATTTGTACACCACAAAGATTGAGATTGCCATTGAAAGAGGATGTGTTGAACCTAATCAATGACGAGGTTACAGGAATTTGACCAGAGAGTTGATTGTTAGACACATTGAAGAATCTTAGACTGGTTTGGTTCAAAGGAGGGATTGCCCCAGTTAACTTATTATCTTCCAAGTATAGAACATACAAACGACTGAGTTTGAGGAGGGACGCTGGGATTGGACCAGAGATTTGGTTTTGAGCTAAAACTATGACTTTTAAACGGTGTAGGCCTGTAATGGAATCTGGGAAATCACCAGAGAAGTTGTTGGTTTGAAGGAAGAGAGATTTGAGATTGACGAGGCCAGAAAGACTTGGGATTTGGCCTGAAAGTGAGTTCCCTTTGAAGCTCAAGACTCGAAGTTGATCTAACTGGTTTAGGATTTTGGCATCTAGAGTACCACTCAGGTTTTGGTACTCTACAACAAGCTTTGTGACCCTTCCATTCTTGCATTCTTTGACACCTTGCCATGTGCATACATTGATTCCTTGTTGCCATGAGAGGGAGTTTAGAGGATCAATGGCTGATTTGAGGGTTAAAAGAGCCTCAGCATCGCCTGATCTAACTGGGGAAAGAAGTGAAACAACACACAAGTATAACAATGAGAGGATAAATGGATACCCCGAAACGAGAGGTTCCATCTTAATCTTTGAATTGAATGTTTTTTGAAAAGTTGACTCTAGAAAAGAATGGAGGATTAGTAATTAAAACAGAATCTCTGAGATCATGGTCTCAACTCTGAATCGAGACTATTGACAGGAAATATTGGACTATGATTAAATTTTGGTTCTTTGTTTCCAAAAAGAGCTGAAGAACATCAAAACCTATAAATACAGGGTATCTTTGATGTGCTTACCTTGTTCTAGTAGTAAAATCTTTCCGAAGAACTAAAAGGCCAAAAACACTTTCAGGTCCTTTTTTGGCGCTTTTAATTAAAATTTGCCCAGTCACCTTCAAAACACCAAATCTTCAAGATATACCATTAACATAGCATACCGCCATAAGACTTGAGAGCTGGAAGAACCATCTCCATCAAATAAGACGCGCCAAAATTTTAGTCATTTTCAGTTGACTGAATAAAAACAGCTGGGCTGCTTGGAAGTAAAATTTTGAAGCAGAAACATGCAGGCAGTAACAGAAGCTCGCCTACTAACTCAGGTCATTGGATGGGGATTTAAGGCCAACGAAAGACACGTTGTTGAAGTGAAGTCTGAGATTCAATCAAGGAAGACACTGGGACTGACCATTTGGCATCGTTTCTCCATCTCTTTGCTTTGAGCTACTTGCAAAAACTCACGGACATCACAGTACTGAGAAGCCCGCACGTGAACTGAGCTCAGAACTTGCAGACTAGAAAAGAGTAAATCTTTCTTTTTTCCTCTCTATGAATATTTCTGGTACTTGCTAATAATATAATTCTCGAAAGGCATTATTGAACAGAGGAAAATTACAATACTGCATCTATTTTTATCCTTTTCTGTTCAATTTCTTGGGCTGCTCAAAACTCACAACCCCTTTCTTGTTCTTTCCCCCCACTTTTTCTGAGTGAGGAGATCCAATGTGAACTCCCTCAGCTCCTCCTCCACATTTACAGATCAGCATGGAAATGCAAAACCCAACTCAGAAAACCACCACCCCATTTCCCTGCTTTGCTTCACGAATCAAAGCAAGTAGCAACTCTTGCTGCCAGAGCAGTTTGTTAACTGAGAGAAGAAAGAATAAGATAGTAGTTTCTTTGTGGTAGTTGATGAATATGAAGCAGCAAGAAATGCAATAAGATTCGAAATTCTGAACGAATGAATGATACAGCTAAGCTAAGAGAGCCCGATCCTCTCCCTCCCAAATGCTATATAGTTTATTAATCACAAATCCACTTCAAGGATAAATGAAATGTTGTGATAGTAATAACTCGAGAGAGAGAGAGAGCGTGTATATATGCATGTCTAAGAAGCAGTGGGTAAAGTAACTTGATCAGTAGACGAGAGAGGAACATCCGTAGCTTTTGCTTACAGTTAGAGTCTCAGGAAATGGGTGAAGGAGTTGAAGGCTGGCAAAAGGAGGACATGCTTTATTTGTTCATCAGTAACCATTTTGGAGTTAGCATGAAACGTGTCGGCATTAAATGGGATCAGGTAGGTGGGAGTAGGATCACTTAGTAGTTGAGTTCACGTTAAGATTCTTCTGGTGGTGAAATGCAGTCCTGATACAGTACAGGAGACTGCTAGCAACCAGCGACTGCTCTTCTTTTTCTCTCTGTTTTTTTTTAAAAAAAAGAAATTGTGTGGATGAATGGTCGAGCCACTAGTATAGCTAACTGCAAGCTGTCACGTTGAATTTTTGTCGACAGCCAAGGTGGTACAAGTGAATATGATTTGCCGGACAATCCCGACGTTGTTGCCTGAAATATAGGCCAAAGATTTTGATCGCACGACCTTGTTAAATGGGTCCTTTGATTTCCTTCTTCCTCGTTCATTGCTCCTACACAATGGGATAAAAAAAAAAAAAAGCACCTAGAGCTTTTAGCTTCATACTAGTTTTTATACACACCAAAATGGTTGTAAAATTAGTCGCGGGTCATTAAAAGAAATTAAGGGAGAAAAATATTTATACATCGGCAATGTATCTTTTTTTAAAAAATAGATTTTAACTATGAATTAAGTAAATCTAAAAAACTTGTGATGTTAATTTAAAAAAAATTAAAAAATTTTAATTTTAAATTAATTTAATGTTGAATAATAAAATCAGTACAAACACCATTTAATTAAAAAATAAAATAAATTTAAGTTAATCAAATAAATTTATAGAAAAAATTATGTCAAGGGTTCAATAAAAAATTTATTCAATAAATAAATTTTACTAAATTACATAATAATAAGGTGAATAATAGCTTTTTTGCATGAAACATATTTTTTTAAAGTAAAAAAAATCATAATAGGTTAAACTCAAATAAAAAAAAGAATGAAAATACTTTTTTGAGTTAAATAAAAAAATATTTTAATATATTTTTCAACAAAAATTATTTTTAAAAATAATATATAACACATTACCAAATAAAATTCGTCTATTTTCTATTTAGGCCTTCTCCGCGCCAAGGCTGAATTTGCATATAGATCAGGCTTCTCGCATAAATGATTTTTAAAGTGTAAAACCAAACAAGGATAAAAGGGTGCATGTTTTTATTAGAAAATAATTTTTTAAATTTTTTGTATTTATTTATTATTGAAAAATTGCTAATAAAAAAAAATTAATTAAAAAAATTTAAACTTAATTTTCAATTTAGTATTTTCATTTTATTTTAGACAGAAAATACTTTTTAGAAGTTGTGAAAAATTTAGAAATATCTTATTATTTGTTGATTATATTAAGTTTAGTTCTCAAACTTTTGATTGATATATATTTTGTTAGAATTTTTTTTAATTTCATTGTTTAAATTTTAATTTTTATATTAACTTTAGTCTTTATTTTTATTTTTATTATTTGTTTTTATTTTTTAATTGAATTTTTTATCTATTAAATTTAGTCCTTTCTTTTGATTATTACTTATTTTATTTGAAATAATTTATGAAATTATTATTATTATTTTAATTTCATTGTCTTTTAATTTTTTTATTTGTTAGATTTGATCTCCATTATTTTGATTATTATTTATTTTATTTGAGATAATTTATGAAATTAGATTTTTTTTCAATTACATTCTCATTCAACTTTTTAATTTGTAAGATTTTTTCCTCATTATTTTAATAAGCTTGAAAAAATAATAATAATAAGTTATTTTTCAACTTATTTTTTATAAAATAACTAAATATTATAAAATATTTTTTAATTTATTTTTCATGACACTACAAAAATAATTCACTTTTGAGGAATTTATTTTAAAAAAAAACTACTTTCCAGCAAACAAATCAAGGTCTTAAGTTAGCAACTCTATTCTTCTAGCTATTTTATATGTTGTTTGAAATTGTGTTTTAACTTTTTTTAATTAAAAATTAAAATTTTATTTATTTTTTAAAAATTAATTATTTTAGTGTTTTTTGATCATTTTACTATATTGATGTCAAAAATAATTTTTTTAAATATTTCTAAATAAAATTTTTTATACTATCATATAAATCTTTTCATATTAATCTTTTTAATTTTTTTAAAGGAAAATAAATAGTTGTGCTAAATCATTAAAATAACTCTTCTTATTTAATACGCTTGAGCCCCGAAATTTCTTGATCAATCGGAAAAGCTATTGTACAAAGTTGAATAATGCGATTGAGAAAACATTCTCTTGTTCCCAAAATGTATGGGCTTTTTGAATTGAAATCAAGGAGGTAACGGTGATGAACCTTGCCTTGCAATAAGAAGAATATGATGATTCCTTGGCTCCTTGATTATTGCAGAGCAGTGAAGGCCTGAAGGGGATCGCTGTCGGGAATCTTTCCTGGTACAATCACCATGAAAGAAAAAGAAAAGGAAAAAAACCAGAAAATATGAAAGCTGATCGCGAAAAGTTTGCGGCAACATTGCTTTCCTTTCTACATATATCAAGAAAGTTCGCATTTAGAAATAAACAAAAGCACCAACAGTGGCTTATGCCTTCTTGTGAATCAATCATTTCCCTATATTCTTCTGATTTCAAACCTCTGATCATAGCTAGGTGATGGGTTTCAAATTTCATGGTATTATATACAGATATCTCTGGCCAGTGCAGTTCCTCTCTGCCTAAATCTCCACGACGACAGCGCTGTGGGATATTTAGGAATTGATGGACCAATCATAATCTCGGTACACAATGTTAACAGGGCCTCCATCTCCCAGAAGATGTGTTAGCAGACCTGCTTTAGTTGCATCCAAGTAGTTGATAATGCACCTCAGAATTTCTTTCTCTTGGCCAAAATCACCACTGAACCTGCAGATCATACATGTGATATTTTTCACTTGAGATGCAACGAAACGCAAATGATTGCCATACAACATGCAATGGACACTCCTAAGTTTTGACCTTTAATGAAAACGTAAAGCACAGGCATTAAGTAGGCACTCCGTAGCTCACCACTTGATAATCCGTGTAAGGTAAACTGTCCTCTTTTCCAAGTCCACCTCCATTCCACTCCTTTGGAAGAATTCTCTTGCAGCACATCTTAATTCAGCTTCGATTCCTTGGGATGTGAAAAACCTCACTGTGGGGCTTGATCTTGTACCAGTGCAGAGTCCAAAATGAATTAATGGATTCACTTTAGGAAGAGCAACCTGCCATTTCATTACAGACAGTTCAAGTTCTTACCCACCGTCTCATTTAAATACATGCAAATTAACTTAAAAGGTCAATTCACTTTTCTGGTTCTTTTAAGCTCAACAAGAATTAGAGTTTGAGGCAAGCTTGATCTTTCAAAAGGAAAATAATGCACAGCGTTAAAAGTTACTAATGCATTGCTAGAAATCAGGTTCACTTTCAAAGACATAACAGAATAAAGTTCTAAAATATCCACCGCCAAAAATAAACGTTTCCAGATATAAACATCATTAGCGGATATTACCTCTAAGCGTTTGTCTCCAGTGCCAAAAGGCTTGACTAATGAATAGGGAGATCTTCTATTGCTTCTGAGGATTCCATTTGTAATTGCATTTAGAGAGTAGGAAGACCCTCCAACAATGTATTGAAAGTTGGAAGAGAAGGATCTCCTTTCGATTGCCCCTTCAGGGCATCCTACTCTAATTATAGCATGGATGGCCATAGCATTGTGCAAGTTCAAGAAGAATGCCAGTTTCTCATCTTGTGAGAGCTTTAAGAGATCCACCCTGTGAAGATCTTGAACCAAATTGACATATCTGCATTCATAGATGGAGAGAAATGAACTTGGAGAAGCTAAAGTGACTTGTAACATTAACTGCCAAAATAAGAACACGAGGGTATATCTTAGTGTCCATTGTATCAGAACCTAACACTCAGAGTAGAACCTTGTTAATGAATTTAAATATGATGTTTCTTCATTATAAAAATGGCATAATGCCTCTTATGTTGAATATAACAGGACATGGGTGGTTATGGAAGTTTTACACAAGGATACGGATATTTAAATCCTCGTGTAGTAAAGAATCATTTCAGCCTAGGCAATAATATTGACCTTTTTCACCTATAAGCATCCCCGTCTATATTCCCAATCCCTGTGAATGATTATGCCAAAACAGCCCTCTTCCTATCATTCTGCCATTCAATTTGACCACTTATATTCAACGTGCCCTCTTTCCGATGTTCTTCACGGGCGACCTTTGCTCGAATGCCTTATACAAGGGAAGCACTCCCCTGGTAAATTCTACTTGATCAACTTCACTACATTAACGATGAGACTAAACCTCCACGCCACCATGTGTGAGCTATTCCAAAAATTAAACCCAGTGATTTAGCTTAATTAGGTACTTAAGAATGACAATTGGAGCTCTTTTGCAGAAAGTGGAAAGGTGATAGACTCTGATAAAAGCGATGTTATCAGCAATAAAGTGGTGAATGCCTTTCCAGCAGGCGTGAGATTGGAAGCACAATAATAAATGGCATAAAAGTAAAACTAGTGAGAAAAGAGAGCAGCGTACCTTCTGAATTCCTCGCTTTTGCTGATGCCAGCATAATCAACATGGCGCCTATCATCTGAGGCGTATGACTCTAGTATCGCAGACATTATCTTGTTGAGTCTTTGTCCAACCACAACTGCGGGCTTAGGCTCACTGTCATTCGTAGACCCTCTGAAATTGTAGCATTTTGGAATAAATGGTTCATGCTCAAGGAAACGATAATAATGGTTTCCATCTTCAAAATCATTTTCCCTGCATACACATTGAATATAAAGCAAACTGTTAAAAATTATGCTGATCAATACATGTTTCATTCAGACAGGAGAAAAACTTCTTACCCGAAAACATGATGAATGAAGTGCTTCCTGGCCAGCTGCTTACCAATCTCAACAGCCTACAAATATTTTCATATGAAAATCAATTAACATCAATAAACTCGCTTGTAAATTCAAAGTGGTGGGCACAACCATGTCCATCTAGCTGCTTTCACTTTTTATCAGTAATGATCACGAAATTGAGCATGAAAACCGGAAATACGAACCAATTTCTTTTCATTCCGAAATCTTTTCTTGTTCTTAGCGTTCTATGGTCAGTAAAAAAAACACAAGAATCCCGCCTCCTTTTCTTTT